TTGTAGGTGCCTCTTTTTGTTCGTTCNGGGGTTTTTTTTTTTTTTTTTTTTTCTTTTTCTGCTTTCTTCATACCCCTAGGCCTTGCCCGGCAGCCGGCTTCGCTTCTTGCCTGTCACGAATTCATATTTGATTCTGTCAATGCCGACAGGCAAACAGGCAGTCACAAGTTGAACAAGCGGGTATCGATCAGAAAGGAGTGCGATCGCGCTCTCAGGCGTAGGCGTAGGGCCCGCCCTTTTCGAGTGCGCGCTTGTAGGCGGGACGGTTGTGGATGCGGTCGACGTAGGCCTTGACCGAAGGGGCGAGGTTGTCGACGCGGCCGGAGAGGGCGGCCTCGAGGGGGAAGGCCATCTGGAAGTCGGCGGCGGTCTGCTCGGGGTGGCGAGGCGGGGGCGGGGACAGTCAGCGGGGCATACACGGCTGGGCCCGTCCGCACGGCGAGACTCACGGGGTTGCCGTCCTTGTCGCCTCCGGCGAGCCAGTCCTGACCGCCTGCGCGCTTGTCGAGCTCGTTGCCGACAAAGGACATGTTGTTCATGATGTTGGGCCCGATAAAGGCGGACTCGACGCCGCCGACAATGGCGCGGGCAATGGGGCGTACGAAAAAGGGGGCCTGGGCGGGCACAAAGCTGAGGACGAGCCTCATGACGAGGGTGGGCATGAGGGATCCCTCTGCAAAGTGGCTCCAGAAGACGTCGTCGTCGACCTTGTCGGCGTCGGTGGGTACGAAGCGGCCCTCGCCGTAGTGGCGGATGAGGTAGTCGACGATGGCGCCCGACTCGGCGACGACGCGGTTGGCGCGGGCCGTGTCGGTGATGACGGGCGACTTGCCGAGCGGGTGGACGTCCCTGAGCTCCTTGGGCGCGAGCTTGTCGGCCCCGCGCTGGTAGTGCTTGATCTCGTAGGGGATGCCCATCTCCTCGAGCAGCCAGAGGACGCGCTGCGAGCGCGAGTTGTTGAGGTGGTGCACGATGATGGTCATGGTGGCAGGTGCGGCGGGGTGCGATGCGGTGTTGAAGGGGTGGGGATGTCGTTGGTGCTCCTGGGTCCCTCTTATAGGCGCCGGTGATGGTGGTGACTGCCCTGGCCTCGCTGCAACGATGCCGGTGTCGGGCTGGTGTTGATTCTTCCGGCGGAGACCGGGGGGCGGCGTCGAGTGGCACCGGCCTCGATGTTGGCCGGACGGCCCGCCGTCCCGCTTCTTTCAAAAAAGCGCGGGCGGGCCCCACGTATGCACGCCTGCGCAACCTCGCACGCCCAGGCCAGGTGGAGCAGCCAGCCGGGCCGACGTCTCTTGCCCGAATTCCGAGACCTTCGACTGTGATTTTTTTCCCTGGCCGCGCGGCGTGGGCCAGACTGGCCTGCCAAAACTTCTTCTCGCTTCCCCCCGGCCGTGCTTCTCTGGCCCCATCGACCACCTTCACCCGCTGCGCTCCCACCACTGCCACACAACGCACCGCCCACGATGCCGGCACAAAAACGATCCAGACCCGCTCCGGGCAGCGCCTCGAGGGAGGCCCCCCAGCCCAAGGGCACCGCGTTCCGCAAGTCGGCCAAGAAGCAGCGCACCGACGACCAGCAGGACACGGCCTCGTCCAAGCCCAAGCCCAAGCCCAAGCCGCAGCCCCAGCGGCAACGGCCCAAGGACCAGCCCAAGCCCAAGACCAAGCACGAGTTCATCAAGGCCAAGCAGGAGGCCGCGAGAAGGGAAAAGGAGGCCGCCCAGGCCGCCGCCGACAAGGAAAAGCTCCAGCGGCAGCGCGACAAGGCAAAAGTCAAGGCGGCCAACAAGGCCAACAACGCCGGACCGGCAAAGCTCGTCATCGTCCCACCGGCGCCCACGAGATCCTTCCATCTCATCGCCGGCTCCTACGAGAGGATCCTATATGGCCTGCAGGCCACTCTCGAGCCGACCTCGGATGCTGCCGCCGATGCGTCCGCCTCCGCCTCGTCCTCGTCCTCGTCTGGCGGCTTCACCGCGCAGCTCAAGCCCGTCTTCACCTTCCCCGCCCACGTCTCGTCGATCCGAACCGTCGCCACCGCCGATTCCACGTCCAAGTGGCTCGCCACCGGCGGCACCGACGAGGTGGTCAAGGTCTGGGACCTGCGCAGGCGGAGAGAGGTCGGTCAGCTGACGGGACACGAGGGCACCATCACCTCGCTCACCTTTGCCTCCAAGACCTACCTCCTCACCACCAGCGCCGACTCCAACATTAACCTCTACCGCACCAGCGACTGGGCGCTCCTGCGCACGCTCAAGGGCCACATCGGCCGCATCAACTCGGCCGCGCCGCACCCCTCTGGCCGCCTCGCGCTCAGCGTCGGCTCGGACCGCACCATCCGCATGTGGGACCTGATGCGGGGCCGAGCCGCCGCCTCGACCAAGATCGGCATCGAGGCCGACCTGGTGCGCTGGGACACCAAGGGCCGCAGGTTCGCCGTGCTCGCCTACCGCCAGGCCATGGTCTTTAGCACCGATATGACCAAGATCGCAGAGGTGGAGGACTCGAAGCGCATCGGCGACATCCAGTTTGCCAGGGTCAGGGTCGGGGCGTCCAAGGAGGAGCACGAGCTGCTCTTTGCCGCTCTCGAGGATGGCACGGTCAAGATCTACGACCTCGATGCCAAGGTGGCCGTCGACGAGGCCGCCAAGGAGGCCGAGGGCGGCAAGAAGGAGGAGAAGAAGAAGAAGGAGGCACGGCAGGAGGACGACGCCGGGGAGAGCGGTGACGAGAGCGATGACGACGAGGAGGAGCAGGAGGACCTCACGCCACTCGTCGATGTCGGAAGGCTGGTCGGCCACAAGAACAGGTGAGTGTCGCAGCGTAAAGGCTCGGTGGGCTTGGTCGAGATCGACCCGTCGCTGATCCGCCCTTACTCATCATCTTCCGGCCGCTGTTACAGGGTCAAGGCCGTCTCGATTCTCCCCGTTGTGGTCCCGTCCGACGCCTCGGGCAAGGGCAAGGGCAAGGCCGAAGCATCCGTTCCCGCCTCGACCTGGGTCGCTTCTACGATTTCGTCTGACGGGTTCATTCGCGTCTTTGACCTGACGGCCGTCTGTGCCGCTCTCTCGCCTGCCTCGGCCGGCGCCAAGACGCTCGACGCCTACGCCGAGGGCCTCGTCTCGGTCGAGGCGATCGGCTCTTACAACACCAAGGGCACCAGGCTCACGTGCCTCTCCACGGTCGGCATCCCACAGTCGACGGCAAAGGCCAACGGCGACGACGGCGACGGTGACGAGGACGAGGACGAGGACGAGGACGACGGTGCCGGTGCGGTGGTGATCGAGAGCGACGAAGACGCCGTCGACGTCGACGGCATGGACGAAGATGAGTCGGACGGCGACGAAGGCGAGGTCGACGAGGCTGCCGAGGATGCCGAACTCAAGAGGCTGGAAAAGGCGCTCAAGGAGGCCCAGGCCAAGGGCCTCAAGCTCGAGGACCTCGAGGAGCTGCTCGAAGCCGCAGAGGCGCAGGGCAGCGACTTTGACCTCGACGACGACGAGGAGTACGATGCCGGAGACAGTGATGACGACGAAGAGGTCGACGAGGTCGAGGACGAGGTCGAAGGTCCGGACGAGGGCGAGGAGGAGTAGGTTCTTCACCTCGAATAGCATGCCTCTGTCGAAGTCGATGCCCACGGACAGATGAGTTTTTCCAACTGCGACGCGCCGAGGCGGGGCCAGAGTGAGATTGAGGTGAGATGAGGGGCTGTGCACGTCGAGCAGATGTCGACGACGACGCCTGGTGCTCGAGATCTCGAGCCCCACCTCGGCCCGATGATTGGTGGCGATGGGCCAGCACACATCGGGTCCGGCACCGGGGCGGGCGGACCAGGTGTTGGCCAGCCATGCTTGCCAGAGAGCGCAGGATTTTCGTCTGCATTTTCGGTGCCTCAGTTTCTTCCGACGAGCTTCCCAACGCCTGCGTTCTTCCTCCAGCCGGCTCCTCACAGACCCTCTCTCCCTTGCGTCTTGGCGACGGCACCTGCTTGTCCCTCCCTAATCGACTTTTCTCGACGAGAGACAACGACGACGAGATTGACGAATTTGCGTGGGCCGTCAGTCCGCGAGTGCTCGTTTGGGCACTCGTCGGCTGCTGCCGTCGAGAAAGAGGCAGCCCAGCCTGCCGCTGCTGCAAGGTGGAAAAAGGGAGAACGGGCGATGCGATGCGAGGAGAGGGTACAGGCGACCAGGCAAGGCAGGCCAAGGCAAGGCAGGCGATCGTACGTCCGAGCCGCGTGCGTGGACGTACAGTACAGGACTCGCACCCTGGCGCTCACGGCGGTCGGCAGCCATCCCGAGGTTTCGAGGGTACCCACGCCATTCTCCCATCGCCGAGCCCCAGTCTGCAATGCGCTCAGACATTCTCGCTGACCTGGGCTGGCAGAGCAGCGTGCTGCTGGCCACGTTGTACCGGGCCCATGACAGCTGGAATCTGCCGCAGACTGGGCGCCGTCCGACTACACGTACCTCTGGCCGTCACCCCGAGCGAGGGCTCCTTTGAAGCGCCTCTCGAGCATGGCACCGGACCCGGCTCGAAACCAGCTCGACCGATAGACAAGCAGCACCGGTACCGTCGTCGCAGTCAGAGCACCATTCTTATTGGCTTCAGGGTCGCACGGCCCAGCAAGTAGAATTGCAATTGTCTTGCCATGAATTGCCGTCACGGCGACCAAGGACGCGCGAGCTGTAGTCTCTGCCCGAGGCTGTCTGCATTGGCGCAGAAGACTTCTCACGGCGGGCGAGGCACAATGCTCGACAACGAGCACAGGGTCGTTGGCGGCAAAGGCCCTGCTCCCAGGCCATCTTACCCTTGAGCATGCCTGCTGGCGGGTGCAATACGACAGAACTGCTCAAGCGGCTGAGGAGGATTGGATTGCGAAGTGGCCAGAGTGAGAGAAGTCGAGGCGAGGATGGTGCCGTCAGGTGGGCTACCCGGCCCTGCTTGCTCGCTGGTCACGCTCTCGGCCTAGCGGTCTGTCTGTCTGTCTGTCTGTCTGTCGCCTGTCGTCTGGGCGATGGTCTGCATCTGGCAGACGGACGTACGGATGGAGGGAGAGTCTGGAGGACGGCATGGATGGCGTGCCGTAGCGTGCGTACGTCGTACGTGAACCAGGTGCCGACGAGGAGCGCTGGCACCCTAGCCTGGCCTAACCTGCTGGCTGGCTGGCTGGCTGGCTGCCCAGCCCGTGCGTGCGTGCTGAGCTAGCGCCCTCTCCGCGCACCGTCGATCTCGTCGGCTGGAGGCGCGGGCGCGGGCGCAGGCGCAAGCAGCAGGTGGCAGGGTGCAGCTCGCCTAGGCAGGCCAGGAGGCAAGGCAGCAGCAGCAGCTACAGTGCTAGTATGCTAGGCCAGGCCAGGCAGGCAGGCAGGCCCTGGTACCCGTCGGTAGGCCTGCCTAGGGGCAGCCGTGGGTGGCTTGGTGCCGCCGTGGGCCTGGGTTGAGCTTGGCTGCCCCTCTGACCTTCTGGCCCGCCTGCTTTCTTCCTCGCCCGCTCGCCTGTGGGCCGTTAGGCTGGCAGCTTGCTTGGCGTCGCGCGCCGCGCTCAAACCTCCTCGCTGCAGCGTCCCCTCTCCTAGCTTCAGGCTACAGGCTACGGCTACAGGCTACAGGCAGGCGAGAGCACGGCACACTCTGCCATCCTGCTGCTGCCTGCTTGCAGCCCTCCTGCCACCTGCCCGCCTGTCCTCCTAAAGTCACACATACGTCTACGGCCGCCCACCCACGACTTCCCTCTCTTCGCCATCGCCCACCACCCACTCGCGTCGTCTGCGGCAGGCGCACACATACGCTCCACTCCACGACCACCGTCGCGACCGCCAACACCATCCTCACTGCGACGGCCGTCGACCCACCTCTCGGACCGTCCCCACCCTCGGCCAGGCTGCGCTCGCGATGCCCACCCCTTCGCCTCGTGGACACCATTGAGTATTCCCTTCCCGCTGCTTTTCGACCTCGTCCCTTCAACCTCTGCCGTACGACGCTCGCCCTCCGCCAGCAAAGATCGGCTCTCGACGCCCCTGCTCTGGATTGACCCTCGCTCGACCCTCTGAAAAGCCACCCACCCGTACTTTGCCTCTCGAAGAGGACAAGGACGTTTCCGTGGATCCAATACAACGCACCTCGGAACTCCTCTTACGACCGACCGCTCGAACCCCGGCTATCTTCTCGTCGAGTCGATACCACGATCCTTCTACGCCGCTCGCCTCGCTGTGATTACGCTGAGCCTGTGCCATCCAGCTTCGAACCCGATCTCGACGTCGACTCGGCCGCTGCCCTCGCCCTGCTGCCATCGCGATCTGCTCCGAAACCGCGTCGTCTCGTCTCGTGTCCTGCCACGGAGACTCTGAGCCCATCGACGCCGTCCCTGATACCGGACAGAGGGGTGAGTTGCCTCTAGCGGATCCTGGACCTGGCCACAGACAGAGCCCAGACTGACCTGCCCGCGCTGTGGCCTCCGCTCCCTCGCAGACGGTACGACGATGGCTTCGGCGATTCCCAGCTCGTCGAGCCAGTCCAGCGCTCTATCTCTTGCAGATTCGGCGGATGACGAGCTCTTTGAATTCCCCCAGCCGCCGCCTCGTATCCAGGGCAAGGACGTCCTGCTCTCGAGACCCTCGCTGCCGGCGTTGCGAACGGCCTACACATCCCTCAGCCCAGGCACGGGGGACCTGGTTGAAAAGAGGCCTTCCGTGCCGTTTCGGGACCATGGCCATGCACCGGGCTCGACCTTGCAGAGCATCCGGCTGGCGTCGAGCCACAAGGACATTGCGATGGAAGGCAGCTCTGTCTGGGACTTTTACAGTCCGGCCGTCAGCGACGCCAACAGCGCCGACACGGATCACAGCGGCATCAGCCTGGCCCCCTCGCTGAGCTCGGACGCTGAGACGCACGGTCCTCTGACACCGGGGACGCCCAACTCGAGCGGATCCGGCTGGCGGCCAAAGGAGCTCAACCTCGTACGCAGACGGGAGAGGGCCATTTCGGGCGAGGCGAGCATGCCGTCGTACCATGCGTCTCGCTCTTGGCAGTCGGCCGCCGAGCGGAACCAGACCGTCGGGCTTGGCATCGCCGCTCCGCTAACGACACCGGCCAGCGCATTCCCCGCCTACCGCGCCGCACCTATGGGCCGAGGCCGCGGTTCTGTCGGTGCCGCTGCGGCTCCAAACGGGTCTGGACCGAGAGATCTGCTACTGTGCAGCTCAGGGCCCCTGCCTTCGACGAAACGCTTCCAGGGCCCGATGGCCAGGTCGAGGGAGAACTCGTTCAGCTCGGCCCTCGGCGGTAACGAGCTGTCCAAGGGCTGGACAGGGCCCCTGCCCGTCCTGCCCAGCACGCCTGCCTTTACCTCGGTGCCGCCACATAGCTTCGAGTCGGAGCCATCGACGAGAGCAAACAGCATCACCGCCGAAGAGTTTGTGGCCCGCGTGGCGTCGCAATCGGACATGCACCCGTTCTGGGCCGCGTCGGGCGAATCGCACATTGAGCGAGGCCTCAGCGCCGACTGGCTGTCGGCCGGATCCGGCTACGATCCAGACCAGCCACCGCTGAGCGCAGTGTCGACCACCACATTCGACCATCGAGGACTTGACGAAGACTCTGCCCCGTACGATCATGGCTACGGCGACGGCACGCCTTGGCCCCGCGTCGATTCGCCTCAATCAGGTCCCTCGCAGCTTGGCCCGGTCTCGTCTGGCTTTTCGCAGGCCATCTCTCAGCCTTTCTCCAAGAGGAGGGCGCCTCCGGCTCGCCTGGTACTGGACAGGTCGCCCAGGACCGACCGAGGCGAGGCCTCGCCGTCCTCCGCTGCCAACACGGTCACGTCGGCTCGGCCAGACATCGAGCGAGAGGCGATCGCGGGCCAGACTACGGCATCTTCCGGCTCTGCCTCTTCAGGACCGAAAGGGCCCATGATCGTCCTCGACCCAACGCAGTCGGACGAAGAGGAGACAGACAGGTTCGATGAGCCTCTCAAGACGGCGTTCTACGATTTCGAGACGTCAGACTCGGGTTCAGAGGCGGAAAGCGGCGCAGACCTCGATGCCTTTCCGGAACCGATCCGGCGGAACACGCCTGGAGTCGCAGAAGCCGCCGAGTCGTCGGCGCGAGACGTCGACGCGGAGCTGCCGCCAAACGAGGATTCGCGGCCATCTACGGCGACCGCTGATCGACCGTCGAGCGCTCATTTTATCGCACGTGTCGAGAACCGGCTCGACGAGGCCGATCGCAAGGCCGAGGCCGGATCGAAGGGCTTCTTGGAGTGCGAGCAAGCAAAGGGAATGCCAACGGAGCTTCTGGAGGACGAAGACGGCGTGGACCTTTCCGGCGAGGAGCGGATCTTGCCGAACGAGCCACTCTCCGCGGTCGAGGCCGACGAAATGCTCCAGGCCGCAGAGATGCGAGATGAGCTCCAGCAGCTGCCCGGCGACAAGCAGCAGGGCCTCGACGACCCTGCCTGGGCAGCTTCCAAGTCGCTCTCGAGGCTCTCACAATGGATGCAGCAGCCAGAGTCTCGCACGGCCTTTCGGGTCTCGATCTTTGCGCCAGACGCGACCTCACCCACCGAGATCGGCGGCAAAAGCTTCGCCGACCT